CGGTTTTGTTCGCGAAAAAGTACGTACTTTCTTCTATATAGTGAGAATGTTTCATGAAGATATCTTAAGAATCCGATTTTTTGCGATTTTTTAAAAACGGTTGTAAACAATTTTTTACTTCATAAATATACTGAAATTCAGAATGTATTATCTCAAGAACGAATTGAGATATTCAAGTGCGGGTTCGTTCACGTAAAAGTACGCACTTTCCTCTATAACATGGGAATGTTTCATGTAGATATCTTAAGAATTCGATTTTTACGATTTTTTTTTAAATAATGTGAACATTTTTTTGATTATATAATTGAGGTTGAGTTCAAAAACTATTATCTCAAGAACGAGTTGAGATATTCAAGTACGGTTTTGTTCGCGAAAAAGTACGTACTTTCTTCTATATAGTAAGAATGTTTCATGAAGATATCATAAGAATCTGATTTTTTGCAATTATTTAAAGACGACTGTCAAAAATTTTTTACTTCATAAAGATACTGAAATTCAGAATTTATTATCTCAAGAACGAATTGAGATATTGAAGTGCGGTTTCGTTCACATAAAAGTACGTACTTTCCTCTATAAGATGGGAATGTTTCATATAGATATCTTAAGAATTCGATTTTTTACGATTTTTTTTTAAATAATGTGAAATTTTTTTTTACTACAAATTGAAGTTGAGTTCAAAAACTATTATCTCAAGAACGAGTTGAGATATTCAAGTGCGGTTTTATTCGCGAAAAAGTACGTACTTTCTTCTATATAGTGAGAATGTTTCATGAAGATATCTTAAGAATCTGATTTTTTGCAATTATTTAAATACGATTGTGAAAAAATTTTTACTTCATAAAGATACTGAAATTCAGAATTTATTATCTCAAGGACGAATTGAGATATTCAAGTGCGGCTTCGTTGACGTAAAAGTACGTACTTTCCTCTATAAGATGGGAATGTTTCATATAGATATCTTAAGAATTCGATTTTTTATTATTTTTTTTTAAATAATGAGAAATTCTTTTTTACTACATAATTGAGGTTGAGTCCAAAAAGTATTATCTCAAGAACGAGTTGAGATATTCAAGTACGGTTTTGTTCACGAAAAAGTACGTACTTTCTTCTATATAGTGAGAATGTTTCATGAAGATATCTTAAGAATTCGATTTTTTAAAGATTATAAAAAATTAACAGAATATTTTAAAGCTAATTTTATCAGTATTCAATGTGCTATAAACAATTTTTTATTTCCCACAAACTTAGTTGTTATGATTTTTTTTCAACTGCAGCCTGTTAAATCTTGATGAGATGCAACGTATTAGTCAGCTATGACGAAGAATTCCCCATGCATATCCTATAATTTCTAGAGTTTTGCCTATCATCCACCTATTAATGCTGAAATCAGATGAGAGGTGAGAGGTATCAGAGAGTTTTATGAAAATAAAGAAGAAGCAGCCATGCGATTGCAGTTATCATCAGAACCGACTTTATCACACCACCACCCACAACAGGAACTTGTCCAAAGAATCAAGAAACTACGCAAATGGCAAAATTTGAAAAGGGAAAAGTAACTTTTAAAGCACTTACTTCAAAGGAATGGTCCAACGGGCTAACTACGACAAGAAGTAATTAGTCAACCTGTTGGTTTTATCTGACTTTACTTTGTTTCAAATTTGGCGGAACTAATAACCAGACTACCGAGGAAGGACAAGATTTTGGCGAAACATGGGATAATCAGCAAACTGGAACGCATGGCCGATAGCATAAGGTAAATATCTTGCTTTGAAAGGATTACAGAGTCTATAGTCGTGCAAGCATATGAAAGAAAGAGTATCAAAGCTGCATTTAGAAGAAGAAAATTGGAAGTAGAAAACTGAATAAAAAATGTTGTGTCCAATTTTTGCAAAAATGTAATGTAGGAAGAACAATTCCACTGTAGAATTTTAGAACGGTGAAAGTACAATAGTCTTTTTTGACTTGGCATTTTATGTTCCATGTTCTTTGCTGACTTTAAAGTTACTTGTTAAACACGCCGCAATTTCTGCATTAAGAATTTCTGGGTTTTTTATTTAATTCAAGAAGTTTTTGTACTTTATTTTGCTTCACAACAACGTTGGCATTTATTTAAAAATGAATAATATTGTAACCAATTTTTTAGCCTTGAACATTTTTGCGATTCATCAAAACATTTTGCACACTAATTTTAATATCAGTTAAAACTTAAATAATTATTTAAAATCATTCAGTATCAATAAATAAGAAAACTTGATGAGTTGTTGAATAATATTTTAATGCATTAAATAACTTTTTTTTGGCAACCTATTTACTACTCAAGTCCAGATGCAATCTCACAACACTTTCGCTTTTTGTTTATATTTGAACAGCGCGGAGCGTTTTAGATCAATGAAACCCACACGAAAATTTTCCTTGAGTCTTAAATCGTCTCGAAATCGAAAACGTATATTCCCTTCTAAAAACAACCCGAGACGGTCGGTTTATTTTCAAATCCGGTGATTAATCGCCACCTTTTCCTGTGCGAATTTTATTTATTTTTTTGCTCAAATTCCACACACGAAATTCTTGTCTAAAAAAAAAAGAGGTTGAAATTGAAAAATTCGTAAATTTGGATTAAAAGATGAAAGTTTGAAAGAGCAGTCGTGCCAAAAATATTTGGTTGATATGTGTGGAATTTGAAGGAGAATCATTGGAATGCGTTCAGAGTTGGGCGCTTGCGCTTAATTCGCCAGCAGGTAAACACAAAACTTTGCAAGTTAGTCGAGGAATTCTTAGACGTTCAGAACGACGCTGAGCGTCGAGTACAGCACATTGTTATTCGTTTTTGAAATAATATTAAGAAATTAAAATGCGTTGTTGGAAAACTAAAGAAAATAAAGAGGAAAGTGAGGAAAAGAAAATTGATGAAATTAAAATGATTAAGGATGACGATGAAAAAATTAATACCATACAAGGAATTTTCGAAGACAGTGTTGTTTTAGAAGATGCAAATGAACGGTAATAAATTTTGAGACAATTTTAATTTGAATTAGCTAATTACTTTGGTTTAATTAGAGCAATTTTTGTAACAAAATCTCCACTTTTTTGTTGCGTTTCTCACATAACGGATCACCTGTTATTATCATCGGCTACAGCAGCTGATCCATCAGCGCTGGAGTATTTCAAAATAACCTGCGTGATGAACGCTGCTGCTGAATTACCGGATACCCCGATGAGAAATCCATCAACGAAATACTTTAAAATATCAATATACGATAATACAACAGCAGATATTCTTTCACACTTGGATTATACATCGGATACAATACACAAGGTAATAATAAACGCTTTCTTATTATTATTAATTAATTCTACATAATCTGAGGCACTCCTTATAGTTTGTGTCCTTGACGCTTACATTCTTTGAATTAATAATACAGTAAAACATCGATATAATAGATTAANAGGTTGAAATTGAAAAATTCGTAAATTTGGATTAAAAGATGAAAGTTTGAAAGAGAAGTCGTGCCAAAAATATTTGGTTGATATGTGTGGAATTCGAAGGAGAATCATTGGAATGCGTTCAGAGTTGGGCGCTTGCGCTTAATTCGCCAGCAGGTAAACACAAAACTTTGCAAGTTAGTCGAGGAATTCTTAGACGTTCAGAACGACGCTGAGCGTCGAGTACAGCACATTGTTATTCGTTTTTGAAATAATATTAAGAAATTAAAATGCGTTGTTGGAAAACTAAAGAAAATAAAGAGGAAAGTGAGGAAAAGAAAATTGATGAAATTAAAATGATTAAGGATGACGACGAAAAAATTAATACCATACAAGGAATTTTCGAAGACAGTGTTGTTTTAGAAGATGCAAATGAACGGTAATAAATTTTGAGACAATTTTAATTTGAATTAGCTAATTACTTTGGTTTAATTAGAGCAATTTTTGTAACAAAATCTCCACTTTTTTGTTGCGTTTCTCACATAACGGATCACCTGTTATTATCATCGGCTACAGCAGCTGATCCATCAGCGCTGGAGTATTTCAAAATAACCTGCGTGATGAACGCTGCTGCTGAATTACCGGATACCCCGATGAGAAATCCATCAACGAAATACTTTAAAATATCAATATACGATAATACAACAGCAGATATTCTTTCACACTTGGATTATACATCGGATACAATACACAAGGTAATAATAAACGCTTTCTTATTATTATTAATTAATTCTACATAATCTGAGGCACTCCTTATAGTTTGTGTCCTTGACGCTTACATTCTTTGAATTAATAATACAGTAAAACATCGATATAATAGATTAATACTGGCATAATTAGCTTTAAAATGTTCTTTGTTTCATCTTAATATCTCAATTCGTTCTTGAGATACAACTTTTCAAATTCTATTCGTCAAAGCTTCACTAATCAAACATGCAGAGTTGGTTTTAAAAAATCATAACAACCATGTTTGTGGGAAATAAGAAATTATTTATGGCACATTGAATACCCATAAAATTAGCTTTAAAACGATCTTTGTTTCATCTTTATATCTCAATTCCTTCTTGAGATACAACGTTTTAAATTCTATTCGTCAAATTTACAACAATCAAACACGTGGAGTTGGGTTTAAAAAATCATAACAATCATGTTTGTGGGCAATAAGAAATTATTTATGGCACATTGAATAATCATAAAATTAGCTTTAATTTGTTCTCTGTTTCATCTTAATATCTCAATTCGTTCTTGAGATACACCTGTTTAAATTCTATTCTTCAAATCTTCAATAATCAAAGATGTAGAGTTGGGTTCAAAAAGTCATAACAACCGTTTTTATGGGAAATAAGAAATTATTTATGGCACATTAAATACTTATAAAATTAGCTTTAAAATGTTCTTTGTTTCATCTTTATATTTCTATTCGTTATTGAGATACAACTTTTTAAATTCTATTCGTTAAATCAACAATAATCAAACAAACAGGGTTGGGTTGAAAAAATCATAACAACCATGTTTGTGAAAAATAAGAAATTATTTATGGCACACTGAATATTTATAAAATTAGCTTTAAAATGTTCTTTGTTTCATCTTTATATCTCAATTCCTTCTTGAGATACAACTTTAACTTTTATTCGTCAAATCTACAATAATCAAATAAACAGAGTTGGGTTTAAAAAATCATAACAACTATGTTTGTGGGAAATAAGACATAATTCATGACACATTGAATATTCATAAAGTTAGCTTTAAAACGATCTGTGTTTCATCTTAATATCTCAATTCGTTCTTGAGATACAACGTTTTAAATTCTATTGTTCAAATTTTCAATAATCAAACATGCGCAGTTGGGGTTAAAAAATCGTAACAACCATGTTTGTTGGAAATAAGAAATTATTTATCGTACATTGAATACTCATAAAATTAGCTTTAAAATGTTCTTTGTTTCATCTTTATATCTCAATTCGTTCTTGAGATACAACGTTTTAAATTCTATTCTTCATATCTATAATAATCAAACATGCAGAGTTGGGTTTAAAAAATTATAACAACCATGCTTGTGGGAAATAAGTAATTATTTGTGGCACAGTGAATACTCATAAAATTAGCTTTAAAATGTTCTTTGTTTCATCTTAATATCTGAATTCGTTATTGAGATACAACTTTTTAAATTCTATTCGTTAAATCAACAATAATCAAACAAACAGGGTTGGGTTGAAAAAATCATAACAACCATGTTTGTGAAAAATAAGAAATTATTTATGGCACACTGAATATTTATAAAATTAGCTTTAAAATGTTCTTTGTTTCACCTTTATATCTCAATTCGTTCTTGAGATACAACGTTTTAAATTCTATTCTTCATATCTATAATAATCAAACATGCAGAGTTGGGTTTAAAAAATCATAACAACCATGTTTGTGGGAAATAAGTAATTATTTGTGGCACAATGAATACTCATAAAACTAGCTTTAAAATGTTCTTTGTTTCATCTTAATATCTCAATTCGTTATTGAGATACAACTTTTTAAATTCTATTCGTTAAATCAACAATAATCAAACAAACAGGGTTGGGTTGAAAAAATCATAACAACCATG